GACGGGTCTAAGACACCATTCGGATCCGGATACGCAATTGTCAGGAACCAGTCAACCGAAAAAGTTAAACTCCATCACAAAACACCTATCTTCCTATGCGAACTTCAAGCAATTAAACGCGCCATCAAATCAACTTTAACCGACCCAAAATACAAATTTTGCAATTTTCTGTGACTCCACAAGCGCCATCTCAGCAACACAAAAACTATGGACAAGCAACCCTGTCATCCAAGAATGTCAAGAAGTCTACACCAGATCAAGCCAAAAGAACAACTCAATAACAGTAATATGGATTCCTTCCCACATTGACATAACCGGCAACGAAAAAGCGGACCGTGCAGCTAAAGAAGCAGCCAACTCATCCACCCCCAACCACCACGACAACGGCACTCACCTGGAAACGTTACTCTCCATTCTCAAAGAAAAAAGTAAAAGCTGTTGGAACAAAGAGTGGAGCACATCAACCAAATCCCGTACAAAATTAATCAAAAATGACTTCTATGAAAAATCCATTACCTGGAAATTACCCAGACCAGACCAAGTGAGAGTATCACGAATCATTATAGGCCACACCAAACTGACCCATCAACACCTCCTCCAAAAAACAGGCCCACCAATATGCGAAACATGCAAAGACCTCCTAACAATAGAACACATCATCATCCACTGCAGAAAATATATTCCAATCAGGCAACGGCTCAACATAAAACCAACCCTAAAGGACAATCTGAAGGACAACACATCGACCCAAAATCTATTACAGTACCTCAAAATTACCAAATTGTACAACAAACTCTAAAAATGTATTCTCCGAGTCGCTAATAACCCTTAGCGGTTGATGCGACTTTAAACAAATAAATAAAAAAAAAAAAAAAAAAAAAAAACTTTCAGTAAATGTACGTGGTGCTTGAAATTTTTATGTTTTGACTGTTTTTGTGAAAAGTACCATCCAGATTCATGTACTTCGTACATTGAAAATAACATATGTTAAATGTAATCGGTTAAAGGGTATAGCCGAATAAGGGGGTCAAATGTGCCCCCAAACCGAATGGAACGAGCCACAGGTCATTCGATAGCAAAAAAAAAATAACCCCTGTGTGCAAATTTTTAACTTGAAATCTCGACCGTGGGGGTAGTAATGGGGTGAAAACGAAAATCATGTTTTTGAATTATTTCTCTTGACCTATTGAGTAAAAAAATGTAAAAAAATTCAGAGACATTTCGGGTACCGGCGCACATACTTTGGGAGATTTTCAGATTTTTTGATTGAAGAACCAGGTAGTGAAAAATAAAAAACAGCAAAAAATGCCGAAAAATGCCGATTACGTATTGAAGGAGGCCCGGAACTACTTTTATACTTTTACAGTAAACAGGTATTACTATTACTATTATTCTCAATTTTTTTCAGATTTTTCATTTTGGTGCGCTGCAGTGAAAAAAAATAAAAACCGAGTTTTTCCTCGTTTTCTGCGTATTAGAGTAACTTACACGTTGAATTTTTATGCATCCTTCAATATATAAGTGTTTTGTAGACTGTTTAATGTTTCTACACTAAGCAGAATTACATAACAATTAAAACAAATAAAATAAAGCCAACCGTTGAGCGCAATATATCCTAGAAAATCAACGATATTTTCAACGGCGTCGATGGCGCAGCGTTAGAGTGTCCGAAACACTTGTAGGACCAACCACCGTAAGAAACACTTGTAGGACCAACCTCTACGGACCATGCCAAGTAATTATGTATAAATCCCATCGCATACAGTAGCTTGAACTGAGTAATTAAAAAATACATTGTGAAACCCGAACGCGACAATCACCCATTGACCTGAACGGTCTGGGCCCTCACCCAACGAACCTTTATTTCCTTCGTAACGCAGGTAGGACAATTAATCATTTTTCCCCGTGGTTTCCATCGAGCAATGATACTTCATTCAAAAATAAGCATGAAACGATCAAACTGGTACTTAAAAATGGGTTTATTAGAAAATAGTATCATTGGCAGAGAGTGGGTTAATAGATTTGGCGTGGAATGGCCCTTACATGTCTACGTTAGATACTAAAGCCGCAGCAAACATTCATATTTATCAAAGAAAGAGAACGAGAAGGAAAGATCTGCTTGATCGAAGGGCGAGAAGAAGTAATAGTAAGCCAATATACAATCTTCTGCTCCGATCCATTCACAATAGTCAAAGGTAAGAGATTTGAAAACTAACATTTCACATTAATTTCAGTGTAAGAGATGTTAAACAATAATCGTGGTTGACAAAAAAAATAAAAACGCAAAAAACACTCCAAAACTATATTTATACATATTTCAGGTTAAAATATTTGTAAAATGCTATCAGAACATTTATAAATAAATATAAAGCATTGTTATATAGTTAGAATTTGAAAAAAAAAATAATGAAGAAAAAAAAATACTAAGTCCAGAGGAGAGACTCGAACTTACGGTAAAAAAACTTCCAGCGGTTCAGCAGTCGGACACTCTAACGCTGCGCCATCGACGCCGTTGAAAATATCGTTGATTTTCTAGGATATATTGCGCTCAACGGTTGGCTTTATTTTATTTGTTTTAATTGTTATGTAATTCTGCTTAGTGTAGAAACATTAAACAGTCTACAAAACACTTATATATTGAAGGATGCATAAAAATTCAACGTGTAAGTTACTCTAATACGCAGAAAACGAGGAAAAACTCGGTATTTATTTTTTTTCACTGCGGCGCACCAAAATGAAAAATCTGAAAAAAATTGAGAGTAATAGTAATAGTAATACCTGTTTACTGTAAAAGTATAAAAGTAGTTCCGGGCCTCCTTCAATACGTAATCGGCATTTTTCGGCATTTTTTGCTGTTTTTTATTTTTCACTACCTGGTTCTTCAATCAAAAAATCTGAAAATCTCCCAAAGTATGTGCCCCGGTACCCGAAATGTTTTTGAATTTTTTTACATTTTTTTACTCAATAGGTCAAGAGAAATAATTCAAAAACATGATTTTCGTTTTCACTCCATTACTACCCCCACGGTCGAGATTTCAAGTTAAAAATTTGCACACAGGGGTTATTTTTTTTTTGCTATCGAATGACCCGTGGCTCGTTCCATTCGGTTTGGGGGCACATTTGACCCCCTTATTCGGCTATACCCTTTAACTTTAAAAAAAAATATTCGAAGATCAGACAAAAATATAATGTCATATTTAGTGTACGATTAAAGTATGATTGAAAAAATAAAAAAAAAAAGTTCAAGCAGGGTTCGAACCAGCAGAGCAGAAGAAGTTCGGAACTTGCAGGCAAAGACCTCATCACTCACGCCACGCTGATTAGTGGTGAACATAGTTCTATTTCTAAAAATAAGTACCTGTAATAACTTTAATAATATCTCAAAGTAAAACCTAACCCAAAACCTAGTACCATTCCAACTTTTCCTTGTTAGAAACGAGTTTTCAATTTGTCTTAGCGAAAATCGCAATCACATTTTGCACATTATTCTAAAACATTTGTGGTATTCGTTTTCAATGCGATTTAAGTAAGCATGTAATGTATAAGATTTCATTTAATGTTTTCTTTTCTAGAGAAAATAGAGAAAAAGTTTATATAATTTTTTTTATATAAAATTTAATTCGTCCTAAGATTTATATGAAACATTTAAAAGATTTTTTATACATTATGCCTATATATCGGAACAACTATGAAACAAGAGGTATAATCTGTAAGGAGTGTATGTGTGTGGCTAGGAGAACCGTTATCGTTTGCGTCGATAGGAGTGTTTAGTCTAAGCTAGAGTAGGTATCGAGTGAGGTGTTTAGGTTTAAGCTGAAATACGTTTTAGAGACTGCGTCTCGAACGTGCGTTTTGTTTAGATCATTAATATAAGATAGGAATAAGGAACGTCACTCTGTATCGAACGTTAGTCGAGAGCAATCACAGTTTTACGTTTACGATCTTTTACGTTTACGTTTTATGTCTTTCTTTTATGTTCTTTATGTTAAATAGTTAGTAAATATTAAATAATATAATTACATCGTTACGTTTAGTGTTCACGTATTTGAATCCGTCGACACGCCTTTGAAATGAGAACATAAAACTTAAATGTAAAGTTTCATTTAAATTCATTCAGCTATTTATATTCAATCGTATTAATAATATACATGTGTGCTCATACATGGGAATAAAAAAAAATTTCTTTTTTTTCAATAATTAAAATATGATCAGGAGGTCTTAAAACGTGTATTTCCGTAAAATAAATTTTACAAAATTTTTTTTTCATTATGGGTACTTTGCTTATGTGCGCCTACATAGGTCGGAAAGTAAAAATGCCTGGGCAGTCGAGAATCTCGGCTCGAGAATCCAAATCGTATGCCGTTGACGGGAGGTCGGATTTCAGTTGTTTAGAGCGAGAAGGCAAATGTGAGCCTTTCTCTCCCGACTCCCACGAGGCGATCCGAAATTACTTCGGGCAGCTTCGGAGAATCGAGAAAGAGGGCATGCGTCAGTTTGCCTTTGTCGACTTTCCGAAACTCCACGAGCTCACGTACGCGTATCTGGCATGTGTGCGTGTGCACCCGGCGGTGCTTTTCTGGCATCTCTGCCTGGAGTGTGTTCGAATTAGGTTTGTACGCTTGCATTCTACAACTCATAGAAACGCTCCAGTCTACGGTGTGCATGAGCGATTATGTCGAACATGAAAGATTACATATTCATTTTCATATAGTTCAATTTCATATCGATCTAGTTACTTTGGTTATTTTTCAATTTATCCATATTTGATGGAAAATTGTGTAATATCGTGCATTCTACTCGTTTAAAAATATCCCTATCGTTAATGGAACAATCTGCAGCCTTCTTTTAATTACTTTCAAGCACTGTGTTTCCAACATGGCATTAAATTAAGTAATTTTGGCTGCTGTTAATGTTATGTATTGAAATGAAGTAAAAATAATGTAAAGTCGGCTCTTTTCATTCTCTACTTTTGTTATTAGGAGATCAAAACTATTACTTACCATTGTCCCAAGCAGCTTCCTTTGTCCTAAGCAGGGCGGCGAGTCCGATATTATCTTTTGGCATCACTCTATTCAACATGTTGTCAGAGCCTTCTGCGTTCGCCATTGCCAACTGATTGAATTCGACTAAATGCTCTTTTATCAAGGTAAATCTGTAAATAAAAGCAGGAACGGTGAATTAGAACGACAAACTAATTTCAATGTCGATATAGCATAAATATTTTTACGATTTTTAAAGCTTCGATCTTAAAGACGCTTTTTCTAGGGTCTTTTTTATTTGATTAGAATCTTATTCTAGTAACTCAATCAGGGATTACATTACAACCTAACCAACAGAGTACTCTACCATACCGACTGAGATACTTCTTTATCTACAAATTTGATCGCCGAAGTTCGAAACTCTACCACTTGCGGTTTACTTAAATAAACAAAGACATGTTTTGCTAACATTACGTTTGATTACGTTAGTCAAGGCTTTTCCAATCAGTGAATTTTGATTAAGAAAATAGGAAATCAACAAATTGTATTCAAATATCGCGTACTTACTTCGCCGTCCTGTAAAAAATGGCGCATCCGTCCACGTATTTACGATCGCTCTCCGCCATGATCTTTGCCCGAGATTTTGGTGAAAAGATCCCATCGTAACCGTCGTGTTTGAGCTCTGGTAGGAAAAAATTGTAGAATTGGTCTGTCTCGACTTCCTGCAAACTGATAATGTCCGCGGCGTAATGTCGTATCTCGTCGAGAATTCCTTTTTTCCGATATTCCCAATCGAGCGCCCAGCTCGGACAGTATCCGTACATTTGTCGTGTTGCGTACTTGTCGCACAACACGTTGTAACACATTACTGTGAATATACCTGCAATAGAAGAGAAATGCTTCGTGAACACGGGGCAACAGCTCAACTCGGTTCGTTTCTAACGAAAGATTAGCAAAACAAACTTCCAAGACTACCAATGATCCACGAAACACACATAGAACTCAGAACTTAAACAAATGAATAATCTGGGTTCCTCCCACTTTAATTAAAAGTTTGTCAAACAGAATTCATGACCATATAAAAGCTCTGTTTTTAATGAAACTGGAGATTGTTATCGCAAATTCTCGGTAGCCGTAGTCATGACTGTTACGACGCCTAATAAGAGTCCAATTGTGTCATTCCAAACGTCGGAATGATAATGACACATAATTACTGTCTTCTCAAAGAAGTTATCTGGCACATTTGTCCACGTACGGTCCATAATGATTATGATTGTCAGGGTCGTCGCGAAAGGTGCAAGAAATAATTTGTACGATCCTGCTACCACAGTCGTTAGTCCCATTCCGCGTTGCTGCACGTACTGACCTATCACGATCAACGGACTTCAAATAATTCCATGCGTTCCAAAGCTCGTGTACAAAGTAAAAATAGGCGACCGGTGGTATTGTAACGGCCAGAGATTTCAGTGGGCGGAGTACCAGTATCCGATAGTAGTGTATCTTAGTTTACTTAATACTTTACACAACGAGACATGGGTGTACAAAAATTGGCTACTTGCCTTCATTTGTTGAAATAATTTTATATCAATGAGTGAATTGCTTACATGTTGGTCTCGTCCTGTTTGGCCTCGTCAATGGTATCCAGGGTCTCTGAGGCGGATGGTTTGCAGTCACTGGAAGCAGAAATGGATAGCAATTGTTCAATCAATACTGTTACTTGCATCGTTAGTTATAGTTTATGAATGAGAAACCATCTAGTGCAACTGCATTTTCTAGTTAATAAACAAAAACAAATAGAGTCAGGTGTTTAATTTTAAGGAAAGATCATGTTTTGTGAATTTGCACTTGTTTCTACTCTTCTAGATGCACAGACATCGTTTAACAATCTGCCAGAAGGTTTAGAAGAATATATATTTCTATTTGTTCTTAATAATTTACAGTTACACAGTGCAAAATATGTATTATTCTAAGCGCTACTAGTTGTAAAAGGTTTTAGTAGCGGATTCTAAATAATGGAAGTACAGGAAAGCTACGAGAGTTCTAAGTTACTTCAAGGAAGGTTCGTTGGGCAAAGGGACGGACTAATACGTTATCTAAAATGAAAGTATTGAAGTGGATATCAGTTACCTTGACAATTTGAATTGTTTTTAAACTGTTTAGATTTGTTAGGGATCTTAAGAAAAGTTTCGAGATATTTTTATTATCGACTACAATTCTAACTTTCGGGATGGAAGCATCATTTACATGTAGACAGGTGTTTTTCCTATTTATCAAGTTAATTATGTTAAAAAACTAAAGGCAACCATCATATTTTTATAGGAAAATGAACAAATAAACAAATAAATATTGCATTGTAGGCTCCACCCGATATTAAACAACTTTCGTTCGGCACGTTTTTTCATACGATGAATAGTTTACGAGAAAATGGAGATTATATGGTCGCTTGACTTACTTTTTATACAGGGTGTTCGGCGACCCCTGAGAAAAATTTTAATGAGAGACTCTAGAGGCCAAAATAAAACGAAAATCAGGAATATCGATTTCTTGATTGAGGCTCCGTTAAAAAGTTATTAAAAAATTTATGTACAAAATTTCAAATCATTATGAAAAAATTATTTTTGGTTGCAGGCATCAATTACAATCACTTTTGGTCAATACACATACCCTCGAAATCCTACGCACTTTCGAGAAAAAAGTTCTTAACCGAAGATATACTGTATGTCCAGAAATGTTTCTCCGAAATTGCCGTTCTACGGGCGGAGTTTTAAACGTTAATAATTTTTTAACGAAGCCTCAATCAACAAATTGGTATTCTTGATTTCCGTTTTATTTTGACCTCTAGAATCTTCTATTAAAATTTTTCCCAGTGGTGGTCGACCACTCTGTATACCCCCGGGACTCTGCGATTCTGCGCTTACGAGAAATAGTAGGAGACCTCTATCGGTGGCCAAAGCGAACTACTGGTGCCATGCAACATGCCATGATTTCAAAGATACAGCGAACGCCATCTAAGACTTTATTATCGACGGTTACAGAAGCAATAGAAACAAAATTTTTCAGCTCGTCTTTACCAGTTTCGAAAACTGTACTATTTTGCAATCTGAAGCTTTGTTATTGAAATATGAACTCGCAATACTTGGTAAAATATTACAGATTTCACGCGTGTTTTTCAAAAAAAGACTCTGCAACGAAAAGATTAGGCAATTCTATGGTACTATTGGGGCAACAAGCTTGCTCTACAATTTAGATAAGATCGAACTGGCAACAACATTAGTTTTAACAAGCAGAAGTGTGCTTCTTTGGTTTCCAACATGTCAGGGATTGGAAAATCTAGTGCCAAGCGGAAAAGTGGACGAAATTGCTATAGTTTTTACATCCCCTTTTCCCCCAAGCTGATCGCCGCTATTTGACTTCATGCTACACTACACGTGATTACACGTTGCTACATCGTTGTTTGGTAGCTTCTCCCAAACATTATGCTGGATTATGATGTGTAAATGTAGGTTCTTGCCACGGAATCTTGCCACGATTGAATATTACGATGAGTGTAATCAAAATTTTCCGTGTCGAGCTCTGTTACATGCAGATTTCGCTCAAAATTACTGAGATGTGTGTTTGGTTCGAAGTACTGCGAGCGATTACAGCGGAATGTGGACAGTTTACTTTCAAACGATTTAATGACAGCTCAATAACGCTTTCTACAAAAGAGATCGTAAAGGGAATTGTAGCTTACATTGGTTGAAACACGAATGGAAACGATGGTAGATAAAGTTTAGCTAGGCAAACTATCGTTGGAATTGATTATTCGATTTTTATTTTGATCAGATTAGAAGTTAAATTTTAGCTGAATAATTGGTTGCAGTTTGTAAAGCGTAAATACAGTAGCTTTCGAGTCAATAAATTCTAAGGAGACAAATTTTTAATAAACGATTCTCTAATGAAATTGTCAATTTAATAAAAGATGCAACTGCATCTTCTACAATTTTCAAGATTTTTCCCAGTTGTGTGGGACACCCTGCATATAATATACATATGTATCTTACCTAAAATGATAAGTATCGTGGTAAGGATTAAAAAAAAAGAAGAAAGAATTTCATAGACTTTCTGGATTCAACTGTATTTTGGCCTTATCGAAGTTTAAATACAAATACCTGAGAAACCAAAGGCCTATTTTGAGGAAACGTACGATAATTTTCACGCAGCGCCATTCCAAAAACGATTTCCACAACCGTGTTTCCCCTTGTCAGCGAATGGCTGTGTGCATTCTGACTCGCATAATGGCACACTCCGTATACGCGATCCGATCGGAAGATTGCGCCACGAAGGTTACATGATAATCATCTGGGATATTGCTTCTGCGTATGTTGTAACCGAATACCGCGAACATCGGCCGATATGGAGGATCAGGACGCAGGATCATTGGTATTCAGTCGGCTGGCTATATTCCATGAAACGACCAAAACCTATCGACTGCAATCTCTCTTTGGAAAGTGACTAGCCGTGGTCGGTGGACGACAAACATAAAGGACAGTTTCGTTTTGCCTCATGAGATCCTTCCAGAGATAAAACCCATAGCTCAATGTGACTATTTTTTATACTGTTTTTTAGTAATGCCCTTAAACAGGTCGAAAACCCTGATTTAGTTGAAAAACCATCGGTAAGTCAACCGTCGGTAATTCAACTGTCGGCAACTCAACCATCGGTAATCTGACCGTCGATAACAAGTGTATATGGTAAAATGGTTTTCTTAAAAAGATTTTCCAAAGATGATTTATTTTTCGATCCTCGATAAATTGATTCTACAATTAGAATCACACCCTATGCGTCGGTATTGATAGCTGAATTTCTTTCTGTACGCGTGTACAACTTCACTCTGTCGACGGAACGTGATTGAACAAAGTTTGATTCAATACTTTTTCCAAATATGTGCACCAAACTCATGACGGGACGAAGAATCACGTGTACGGAAATATGATATGCACCACACAGGTTATCTCACCTTTTTACAAAATTTCTTTTGCATTGCTAAACAAATAGAAAAAATCCTTGTCAATTTATACAGGTTAGAATTTAATGACATCGGTTATTACTTTATATTTTATTTTCATCATAGTCGGATGTGGCTACCTGGTGTCCCGTATGTGACAAACGAGTAAGCGACAAAGGTGGAGATACCTATGAACTCCTTGCTCATATTCGCAAATCTCACCCCAAGCGTTCCTCTCACTATTTGCCTCAGGTACGACATTTTTCTTGTATTTCGTACAACTGAGTTCTTCAATTTTAATCGCAACAAAAAAAAAGTATTTAAAAGTTAGAAATTTATCGATTTTAATTTGCAAACTTTATTACTCCTTTTTTTTATTAAGGATGTACGTATGATTTAAGTTTGTAAAATATTAGGAAGAAGAGAAACAAGAGTCGAGGGTAACTAAACGAGCAACTTCGAAAAGTTCTGCCGAAACGGACTGCAACGCCAAGAAAAATGAACAGAGAAAAGTCTACGCGACTCGTGGTATATTCTCTGTGTTATTAAGTTTCTGTATTGAGCGGAAAATTATTCACCCGTTCCTTATTCCTCACAGTGGATACGTGGAAGTCGCACAATGAGAAAAAGCTCTGTCCTCAATGTCACAAAGAAGCAATACCAACGCTTCACGCCAGAGGGGACACGGTGACAACTTCGCACATTGGAGCACTATGCTTGTTAGGGTAGGTCGGGATCTTGCAAGTATTTAGGTGTCTGTTGTGCTACGAAATTCATCGTTTATTAATCTTTCATGCACGATAAGATCTTGATAGTAGCAGTGGAGAGGATAAAGAGACTACTTATAGCGAGACCCGAATGACGTCTTATAACGAGACAATACTGTACACACTTGGATCAACAGCCGTAATTTCGTTAAAAAAAATCGTACGATGATGATCCTGCGCTCGTTTTAAAGGTTAAAGTCTCCCCTTTCTCCATTCTCGATACAATTTTTTTTCAAAATTTTATTTGTTACGCGGCAAAGAAGCGAAGGTACTCTTTATTTTTACCAAAATTCTCCAACTTCAAAAGAGCCTACGGTGCGTGATAAATTGATTTTTTTGAGTTTTGTTTTACAGTGAAATTGAAAGCAGAAGTCTCCCCTTTACAACGACCCCCTAAAAGTTAACGTACGATTTTTTTCTCCCGAATTATCGCACTTTGAATAAAATGTGTGCATACTTGTATACACTTGGATAATTCTAACGCCAGCCCAGCGTCACACTTTTCATTGAAATGGCGATAACTCAGGTACTAAAAATTGTATATCAATTTTTAGAGGGTACTTGTAAAGGGGCGACTTCCGCCTTGAATCTCGTTGCAAAACGAAATCCGAAAAAAATTTATCGCACTTCGTATAGTCGTGTTAAAGAATTTTGGCAAAGAAAGAGTGCCTTCTATTCCCAACCCTGTAATTAAACAAAAAAGAATTTTGTAAAAAAAATGCAGAGGGGATCGTGAAAATAGAGGCTTTGGTTTTTAAAATGAGTGGAGGTTTACCTCCGTACGATTTTTTTTAACGAAGATGGTTTTTTATTTTTAACGAATAAAAATATTAAATTTATGGCACGATTCAGTGACAGAGTGGGTAGTTTATTATCGTAGATACTATTTCGTTGAAAGTATAGTGATTTGCAACAGGTGTTGGCCACTCTGCTTTGTACCGTTGATGATGAAGCGCGCGAAGAAAGTTCGCATGATTTGCCCTTTGTGTGGATACGCGTACGGCAGATTTCAGTATAAAAATGCCGGTCTGGCGCAGTGCAAAACGGATTCCGAAGACTCGCAGACGCGACTTTCATCTCCGCCGCGAAGCTTTCGTTTACAAGCAATGAGCAAGAAAGAAGAACATTGAAAATTAATTGCTTTGAAAATGTGTACTCGTCATTATACGAAAAAATAATACCACTTTTAACGAAACCATTCCTACGTTACTATTTCTTTTTTTGTACACGATGATTGAAAATTTATATCGCGTTTAAAAACCTTAAATTCCTAGATTCCATTTGCTTTTGGAAAAATGCAATTTCAGAGTATTTTTCCTTCAGGTTTTCCCGTGTTCCAGTTTTTATTGCAATCTCAGGGGTTGTAATTTATGAGACTCCAGGTTTTATATTATAAGTTGGCAACCCTGCGTGTGCTCAGGGAGGGGGCCGCATTTCCGCTAGCGGCGACTGTGCATTTTCATTAGTGCGGCCTGGTTTTCCCCCGGCTGTAGGTAATACTTGTGACTCACGCTCGGACGGGGAAACGAGTTCGGATTTATCTAGACCCCAAAGAACGGGAACCCTAACTTCATGGAATATTGGGATCATATCATGTCTTATTAGTAGCTGTTGTTTGCAGCTGACACGGCGATAAAATCACTATTCTTCGATATTGGCTCCGAACTCTGTTCTCTATTGCTTTCCACATAACTAAACAACACTATAACTTGGATTTTACCCTTGGTATTCCTGATCTGCATCCGGCCTTAGAGGCACAACACAAAAATATATTTTAGTATTTTGCAAATCAAATGTAGCAGTAGTTTCCAAACACTGGTCACAGTAAACCTTTTGTTTAATTAACTTTTATGAAACAAACATTATTTCCCGATCTAAAAGTATATGTATCGGTCATTGCAAATGAATATTACCTTCTTGCAGAATAATGTACAGCTCGTTAGGCAAGAAGTTCACCTACCTGAAAATGAAACAGAAAACAAGTCGTTAAAAATACACTAGTATCTCAAGAATAAGCAATGACACGCAATGAAATAATTATACGAGTACACGCGGTTGTACTTTAGCGATTAATCCTCTTACACTTACACTTACTCTTATGGCTTAAAATAAAAACATACGACGAATATATTTTTGTACAATTTATTTTATTTAAAATAGTCCACATTTATAATATGGCGACTTTAGGTATGTCAGGTTCAAAGCTAAATAGAATGGAAAGGGTCCTGGAGGCCTATTAGTACATTCATCAACAAAGAAATCTAATCTAATAGGTCCAGTCTCAGACGCCATGGCACTCATTGAGTGCTTGCGAGAGATACAAGTAGTTGAGTGCCCCTCTGGCGGCGAGTTTGGGAAACAACGCCAAAGATACGTCGAGTTGCTCAGTCAACAAATGCTTCGAACTTTTGGGAATAAAAAATAATCTCCAACCGTTAGATACACTGAAACAACAGTCACTTAAAGCGTTATAAATCATCTTGCGATGGTTTTAATGTCACGAAATTTGACAATACTTGCCAAGTTTCTTTTGGACAAGAACTTCTGCGAGAGTGCATAATTAATTTGAAGGTTTTTGGAAGCTCCAAGCTAAACTGGCGCTTCTTTAAAGTAGTCCGTCATTGTTGCACCGGGAAGAATGTAGTGAATGGTTGGTAACAGGAGAAATGATAAAACGGCGGGAGGAAGCGTACCGGTGACGCGGCAGAACTTTAATGGTGAAGTTGTTCGTAACTGTCTACGCGATAAGTTTATAATGCGGCAGCCACTCGGTTACCATTGATAACTATGCTGCCTCCTCGCGTAAACTTTGAAACAACCGTACAAACCCATACCCGCTAGAAGTCATGTTATTCGGTCTAATAGGTTTCGCAGTTACGGGCTATCGAGCTCCAGTCGAGTAACTAGACACAGTTGTCGAGGACAGACATTATTCCGTAACGATCAACCGAGCTTAAACCGCAAGTTACAAAATTTAAAAGTTCCCGCGTCGACAAACAACAGGAAACTGTCTGCAGTTCATAAGATAACAAAAGAAAGAAACACGACGAGTGACTGTAATACCGGTACATCGTTTACTGATTTGTCGGTAAATCTAAAAAAATAGCCTCAAAGATTTACCGGTAATTCGCTTCTTTTTTACCGATAATAGAGTGCGTTGGAATCACAAACGAGATATACGAGTAGATCTTACATCCAATGTATTTTCTGGGCACTCAGGACCCCATTTCCATTTTCGTGTTACTTGCAATGTTACCAACAGGTTTAGAAATGAACACAAGAGGAAGTGAGACAGAAAATGAAATTATAGAATTTTTATTGTTTTTTAACGTAATGAAAGTAAACGGAACTGGACATCCATTAATTTCATTGGAAACATTTCTCGCATCACATTATATTTTGGGTAAAGAATTTTTTCCTCGAAAGTACGTAGGATTTCGGGGGATTTTTTTGTCGACTTTTCTTTAAAAGTTTTTGATTTTTACTAAAGGGTCTAGCCGAATAAGCATGGTAAAAGTGCCCCCAAACCAAACTGAACGGGGTTAATACCACTCGGTAGGTGGTTCGAAGAAAACCCTTTTCACAAAGTTTCAACCCGGTATCTCTACTACAGGGGTAATTACGGGGTGAAAATCATTTTTTGGTTTATCCTTAATATCTCCCGTTCTGCTAAATTAAGCATTATGAAAAAAATCAAGGTTATTCTACCGACTGATGTACATATTCGAGAATTTTTTCAGAATTTTTGGATGCAAATTCGATTTTTAAAAAATTCGAAAATATTTTAACCGTCGATTTTTTGTAGAAGTTATCAAGTGACCACATTTGTTTTCATACTGTATAAAGCTCTCAAAAGAATTAGTAATCTCTAATTTTTTCAGATTTTTCGAAGGGGTGGAACTTAGTAAAAAAATTAAAAAATGATTAAAAAATGGCGAAAAAGCTTTATATTGTCTTAATTACTTACGTGACCATGTTCATATTTTTGCAGCTATAACGTAATATTGTGACTATTGATGCGTAATTTTTTCAGATTTTTTGGAAAAGTGGGTTATTGTTAAAAAATTATGAATTCATATTTCCTAATTTTTCATACGGAAAAAGGCCACACATGCTTTTAAAATAGATGTAATTAAAATATATTTGTTTATATACTTTGTTAACTGGTCGCTATATGTAGTTTCAAATATGTACGTGTGGTACTGGACTCCTGTTGATTAGAACCGCTATGGCGCGCCGCCGAGCAGCGCGACGCGCTGATCATTTTGGTAAAGCATGCGCGACATTGCCACCATTTTGTCTGAATCTGAATAATGTTATGTACTGATAAATAGGAAGATGAGGATGAGACTAATTCAAATAATATTATAAATATAACACTTTATTATATTAAAAAGCACATAGACGCACACAGCGTGGTTACAACGCATATTTATATATGTATATGTTAGAAGTTTTGCCTTTGACGGTTTTGGGGTAAGTCCTGTGCCGTTCCTCATAGATTTATATAATTATAATATATTATATATATTATTATATGTGAAAGTGTGTTAGTGGCAGTGTATTAAATTAACTTTATAGTGTATTATATTAACGTTTAAATATATACAAAAACAGCAACATGAATACGAAGCATATACGATGTATTAAATGCAATGCTGCATTGTTTAAATTATGCAGCCGAAAGAAGAAAAGTAATACAACAACCGAAGCTAATCAGTGGTCACAAATATTAGGAAAAGTAGTTGTTGTTGGTGACGTACTGTGCAATAAATGTCGAATGATCATATATCGAAGAACAAGAAATGTGTCCCCCGAAGAACAAGATACAGCAGTTCCTAGTACTTCTCACTATCAACCGTCTTCTGAAGTTCCGTCATTTCAAGAATCTCCTCAACATCCATCTTTACATGAAGAAACGAATACCTCGAATAATACTTCATCCCCATCTGATCTATCAGTTTCATCAAGAGAAGATCCGACATATGTTACTCATGCAGGCAATACAACAGGAGAAACTGAATGCATTGAAATGCCATTCCCGAGGGTTATTGCAACACATAGATATTGCTTCATATGTGGCGCTGCGACAAACGTCATCAATGTACCACATGAAACGAGGAAACAGGTGTTTATCTCAAGGCGAATATATATACCAAAAGGTAATCGGTGTTGTTCTACCCATTTAATAAAAAAGCGTTTGTATCGAGAAGATACGATGAATTTACGAATCCATTCGAATTCCGCACTAATTGACGTTGATGAAATAAAAAATTATTTCGATTATCTTTCGGCAAATTGTGATTCAACCCTTCAGAATAAAATAGGTGATTTTACGTTGTCGGATGAACGCCTTCAGGTTTTAACCGGATTAACTTGGGAAAATCTCATACAATTAAAAGACATGATCGGGACAGAAAAAGATGCCGCTGTGCAAACTGTTCACAATTTGCACAACAAGTGGATATATTGTTGAGATATTAGGACCATTCTACGCCACGCAAAATGACGCCGAGATCATGAAGATTGCCATGGAAGATAGGAATGGTCTACAATCATTAATGAAGAAAGGAGATATATGCATTGTCGATCGAGGTTTCCGGGTCGTGAAGACACGGCTAGAAGAGGAAGGCTTCAGAGTACTAATGCCAGCTCTGAAAGGGAAGCGGCATCAACTAACCACTGCAGAAGCTAATTATTCAAGATTAGTCACAAAAGTGCGTTGGGTCGTTGAAGCTATCCATGGCATAATAGGGCAGAAATATCGCCTGCTGCATCACCAACTGGATAATAAATTACTTCCAGCAGTCAAATCATACTGCCGCATTGCCTGTTTCCTGCAAAATATGTTTGGCAAAAGATTACATTCCGATGTAGGGTGCACTGAAGAAATAGTAAGAAGATTTTCAGAAAGAAAGGACGAAGAAAATTCACTAGGTATGGAAGTACAATCGCAAAACTTAAACAGACGAAAAGCTGCATTCAAGAAAATAACAATAAACGATTTACTCGACTTCCCAGAAATGACCGAACAAGATTTGAAAATATTTTTGACAGGATCGTATCAATTTTCCCAAGCAATATCCTATCTTGCCGAAATAATGAATGAGCAAAACGAAATAAATCTTTG